GTGTCTGAGCATTACAGCTGTTCCTACTGTTTTTTCCAGAAGCAGAGTCCAGAAATGAGCACAAAAGAGGAGAATAGTGTCCCTTATTCCTTTACCTGTGCTGATGCTATGAAAATGAGATTTAAAACAGTAGTTGCAATTTTCTGCTTTAATAGTGAAAGGTTTTTAAATGTTTGCATTGCAGAATAAAGAGTATTTGGTTAAAATAATTGGATCCGTGATTCTTGGAGCATTTTTTCCCCATAAAAACTTTACCTTGGGATGTTTGGCAAAGATCCTGCAAAGACTTATACACAGTTAACTTTATTCACTGTAAAAATTCCACTGACCTCAAAGTATGAAGTTAAGAACATCTGTAAAACTTTAAAAGCACAGGGTTTTAACTTGTATTTTATTCAGTTTATGGGAGATATTTATTGTACTCTGATATTCCAGCGTAATTTGCATGGCAAACCAATAGAAGTGTCTCCTTGATGAGTCCTTCAAGTGATTGGCACATATGTGTCTATCCTTTTGATAAGATGGGTTTGATTGTTTAAAAGCATTTAATATTTAATAGCAAAACTGATTTCTTTTTTTAGGTGTGGCATCCAATTTCCACATACCCCACTATGTCAAAGACACAGTTACTGGGCTCAAGCTTTTAAGATTACACACCACTCCCTGAATTTCAAGCTGGTGCAAGCAGCAGCCCAGTGTGAAATACACTATGAATCAGCACTTTGTAATACAGCTGATCTGAATGGCTCCATAATTTGCAAGCACAACAGTACCCACAGATTTTGTGCTGAAGATTGCACCCTCACAACCTGGGTTTTCTCCAGACTAGTTTGCCTTAGAAAGTAGTTCATCGTGATGTGCTCTCATTTGACTCTACCGTGTGTTAGTTTTGTTTTCTTCCTTACTGTGTCTGTGTAAGAATTTGTAAAAATGAAAGGATTATTGCTGACCTGAAGCACAGTTATGGCCCAGTAGTCAATGAGTAGAGGACAGGACATTTGTAATGTAATTCTACCAGATGTCTGTGACACAGATGTGAAGCCATACTGTCATTAGACCTTTTTGTCAATATGTATTGGCTCCTATTGGATGCATTGTAGCAACATGAGTTTCTGTGTTTTGGGTGAGGGTTAATTTGGCAAATTTCTTGAGATGGGTCTTGTGAGCATTTTGCCAGGCCTGCGGGTAGGCCCTAAAGGGCAACAAGAGGTCAGCTAGGTGGGAGTACAGGTTACCAGGGCATCAGGTCAGAGTCTGGGTCAGTGGAGCAGAAAATGCAGGACCAGGTCCCAGAAGAGCCAAGAGGGAGATTCAAGGTATATAGTTTGGAAGGAGAGATCAGAAACCAGGAGAATCGGAGAGCTGGTACCAAGTTCCACCTCAGTGAATGTGAGGCTTGTTGGAACAGACTGAAACTGTTGTCAAGGTTTAAAAGGGCTGAATGGCACTCTCAGCAGCCAATCCAGTTACAGCAAACTGGGGCAGTCGCATTAACTTGGGATCACGGTCAGGTGTGGAAGCTCAAGAGCTCGGCCAGGCTGAGCCTGTTTGACCAGAGCCCTTGAAAGGGGAGCCTGGTTAGCTGGAGGTCCAGGAATCTGTAGGTTACTTAGGTTGCATACACACATGCAGATAACCTGGGAGATTCCTCCCAGGTTTGTTCTTGTGGTAGAAAAACTAGGGTTACCATATTTCCAGGATCAAAAAAGGATTCCTGTGGCAGGGAGGATGCTGGGAGCGGGGTGGAGGGGAGGAAGAGGGGGAGAGGCAGGGGGCCAGCGATATGCCTGTGGCCTGCCTCTGCCCCTAACTCCTAAGCTCCTGCATTGCTGGTGCCCCTCAATCCTGACCTGCAGAACCTTGCCCCACAGCCCTGCTGGTGCCCCTCACTGCCAACCCAGAGCCCTCTTTCCCCCCCCCCACCCCCCAACCCAGCTGCTCACACATGCACACACTCTTACTTGCTGGGGCCCACGTGTAGAGCATGTGACCCCTGACAGCCAATCACCTTGCTTGCTTCTCCCAGCCCCAAGCAGTCCCAAGCTGCTTGTGCCCAGGAAAGCAGAGGGAGAGCAAAAACCCGGACATTTGCGCTCATTTTAAAAACCTGCTCAGACATGAGGACAGGGGGTCAACAAAGAGGACATGTCCAGGAAAACCTGGAAGTATGGTAACCCTAAGAAAAATGTATGCAGAGCCATGTGTGCAGACATTTGAATGCTGAGGCCCTGAAGAGTGGTGAGCTTGCAGTGCTGACACTGTAGCCAAAGTAGGGGAGCGGGGGAGAGGCTGTGCACACATCTCAGGATGTTCTGCCTAGTCTGCCTAGCAATAGGGCAGTCCTGCTTGGTTAACCCAGACTGCCCGTGGCCAGCCTGTGGTGTCAGCATGTACAAACATTGACTCGCCTAGGAGAAACTTTCCTAGAAGTGATTTAACCCTGGTTATTCCCCTTATTTTTCTCCTGGAGCTGCCATTTTTACTCTGGGAGAAAAAGCCTGAACAGCTATACACTCATGGTTTCTCCTAGGAAAGGAGCAACTCTCCCAGGAGAAGCCGAATGTCTGTATTAGGCTTTATTTGACACTCTGTGATGCCCCAATTTTCTATATTAGCTAAAAACTAACCAGGGAAAGAATGACTATTCAGGGAAATCTCTATGGTAATAGTAGTGAAGTCTAGGTGTTTAAGGCTGGGGCTACAACTCCTTCAAGTGTATTAGGGGAAAAAGACAAAGATAACATGAGGCAAATTTTGATCTTACTGTGGATGTTGGTTGCAATAAAAATTAATAATGCTTTCTTGAGCTAATATAATTCTCAAAGGCTCTTAAGATAATATTTCCTGCCCAGGGCAGGGGGTTGGACTCGATGACCTACTGAGGTCCCTTCCAACCCTAACGTCTATCCATCTATAAGCCTAAAAAACCTATTATCAACGGGAAGACAACTTGATGAGCTGACCAAGGAAGTGTTATCTCATATGAGGAGGTGAATAGTGAAGGCTCCTATTGTGTTCTGTTGCACTGCAAGTGTGAGAACATTACTTTATCTTTGTTTCTATTTCTCTTGTCTATACAATGCGTGTAGTAATAGGTAACTCCAAGAAATAGTTTGAGGCCTAATTAATGCCTCTATATTCCTTTGAGTTCTGTAGAGGCAAAATATTGTAGAAGCATGTTTCAAAACAGTAGCAATTGCTATTTATTAAAATTGTATCTTCAGCAACCTACAGTCACAAGTATCAGAAATACTACAGCATAAAAGGCAAAAGTGCAGAAATGGGGAAGCTCAGGTTTTGCTAATCAGAAGGATGCATTGGCAACTTGAAAAGAGTTGAAGACGGCACTGGATTTGCTTCTAATTTATTGTGGGGTGCGCCCAATGCACACTATGGGTACCTGTACACATGCCTAATGCCTGCTTTGATGCATACTAACTAGCACGCATTGGAGTAGACTCAGTCAAGTCTGCCGGAGTGTGCCAAGTAGCACGCTCCAGGAGCCTCAGCATTATGTGTATTCTGCAGCATTCTGTGCCTTTATGCTTCTAAATGGTGGCAGAGGCGCTTTATAAAGCTCATATAAGGAGAGTTAGTTAAAGCCCCCCCACTGCCATTTTGATGCTCAAGACACTGTGGGCTTTTTAATTAGAGTGGCTCCTGAGAGCTGCTCTAATTAAATCTCCCTCACCCTAGAGCATATGTTAAGACGCCCTCCAAGTTGTAGGTCCCTTTATGCTAGAATCAGCAGCCTTTCCAAGTGGTACTGTAGAAATTGCCAGGCTTGTATAGGCCATGCCCAGTTTATGGATACAAAAGAGGGGACAGGTGCTGATCAGGAAAGGGCTAAGAATCCAAGTGTAATTGTAGTAGTGTAGTCCAGATTATTGCCTTCACATCTGTTGGTAAAAGTATTTTTAATGAGTACCTTTAATGAATACGCTACCTTACTTCTCTTATGTTGTTTTTGAAGTCCTTCATTGTCAGTTGGCAGACAAGGTTCTTTGGGTAGATGTGATTTTTTTTTTTATTAGATCAACTAAACAGTTGGAAAAATTGTTCTTTACAAGCTTTTGGATACAAACACGCTTCTTCGGCCACAGGGAGAAGAGTTTGTTGTTGCTTTGTGTTGTCAGTTGGTTGTTACGCATCTGCGTGTATGGCTATCTCTAGGCCTGTCACGTTAATTCATATGAAACTAAAACTGTTACAAATAATCAACAGGATAATTGATTTACTAAATTATCTTAGCTCTTAAGAAACAGAGGAGATGGATGGGCATAAACAATCTGTACAGCTGAGGCCCTTCCAAGCTATTTGTTCTCTCGACCTGATTATGAACGTGATTGCAAAATTTAAGTTCATAGATGCAATGGAATTGCTATCAAGCAAGGCTTTCAAGCTTTGCTTTAGCCTTCTGTAGAATAGGGAGAAAAAACAGAACTCTGTATAACTTGTCATATAAACATCCTCAAGTGTTCTAAATAGTTACATGAAAACTGCATGCTTGTGACAGTTTTAAACAAGGAAGAACTTGGATGTCTCTATTTGAGAGGTTTGCATGTGGTCTTATTGCAAGTGAATAGGACAAAAGATTTATTGCTGGCAGAATCACTTAGTAATGGGTTTGAATTTTTCCATTTGATTATCACAAGACAGTGCCATGCTGTCATTATTTTTGATGATTTAGAGGAAAACACACTCACTCTCTTTGTGCATCTAGAGAACTAAACTAAAATACTGAGTTACTTTAACAATAAGGGAATTCAGTAGTCCACCATGGCTTGTGACACATTATCCTCTGCAGATTTCATGGGTTATTCACATGAATCTTGAAAAGCAGACAACCTCAGTTGTTTTTGCTGAAGAGGTCAGAGATAGAAGTGTGGGTTGCTATATGTGTTACTGTAGACTGAGTACAAACAAAATGGAAATATCCATGCAAGCTAAATCCATTTTACCTGACAATGAAACTCCAACTGTCTCTGAAGATGCTGGAAATCTGCACCATCAGAAGTACTGGATGATGATAGATGGCTTAGACTATATGTATGTCAAAGTAAGTAGAGCAGTTAAACTTATTTTATATGCTTATGTTAAATACAGTTGAAACCTTTTTCAGTTGATTGCATACAGTATCTGTTTTTTGTCAGAGTGTATTTACCAAGGCTGAATGCACACTTATTTTTGACTTCTGGTTCAGAGGTTTACAAAACTCTTACTGTTTGAAACATTCCAAACATGATTTTGTTTATTAGGGCAGACTCTTATTTGTTTACTTTACTTTAAAATACATTTTCCAAACAATGATTTGCATGTGTTGTTGAAATTGAATGTTAATGTGATTTTTTTTTTTTTTTTTTTTTAATCACTATTAAGTATTGTAAGATTCATATTGCTGCAGTCCTATTTCTTGGTAGACAAAATATTAACTTTTTCTAATAGCTGAATAGACATTTTTGAGGGAATATAATATTATTTAACAGTATTAAAATTAGGGCTGTCAATTAATCGTGATTAACGTATTAATTGTTCACATTAATTTTTCAACACTTTAATTGCGCACATGGTTTTGGAGCTTACCACTGCCCTGTGGGGCAGCGCAGAGGACCACATGGCAGCCTGGGTGTGAGCTCTGGGTGGCTGCAGGGGGGGTGGTGGGGCACACAGATGCAGACATGCAGCCTGCAGGTGGCTAGGAGTGCATCCCAGCAGCCAGCGGCATGTGGAGCAGTGCGCAGCAGGCAAGTCTGTGAAGGTGAAAGGGTGGGGTGGGGGTGGGCAGATCGAGGTCCCCACAGTGAGGGAGGGAGTAGGTCAGAGGCAGGGCTGGGGTGAATGGGGCCCCAGGACTGGGGTGGGTCATGGGACGGAGCCACGGGCAGTTCCTCCAAGGGTGCAGGGCACCCTGGGGGAGACATGGGGGGCACATGCCCCTCTCCCCCCCCAGATCTGTGCTCAGGGTGGAGGCAGGCTGCCACTACGGGCTGGGCTTTGTATCCTGCTGTCTTTGCCCTTGGAGCTACGTGCTAGCTATGCCATGTCCCCTGCCCACCTGGTGGTGGGAGGCACAACATGGCATTGTGCAGTTCCTGGGGCAAAGGCAGCAGGGCACAGAGCCCATCGTGCAGCAGACAGCCCGCCTCTGCCCCGCACACAAATCTGAGGGGCACATGCCCCCCATGTCTCTCTCAGAGATGCTCACAGCAATGTGAGTGCCCCCCGCCATGCGCCTGGATGAGTCCCTGCCTTCGTCCCATGACCTGTTCTGACTCTGGGGCCCTATTCACCCTAGCCTCTGACCCACTCCCTCACAGTGGGGGCCTCAATCTGTCCTCCACAACACTTACCTGCTGGGTGCTATCTATGTCTGTCTGCCCCTCACTCTCACACTGCTGCCCCTCACTCCTATCCCACAACACTCCACATCCTGCCAAGGTATCTGGGAACCCCCCTCCCTGTGCTCCAAACTCAACACACCCCCACAGCCCCCAACACCTTCACAAATTCCCCCCACACCCACCTGGAGCCATATAAAGTACCTGCATAATTTTGTGTAACTTTGAGTTTTTCTGCACATAATTTTGTGTTTTTACCTATGCAATTAAAATTGCGATTAATTGCAACTAATCACAATCCATTTTTTTAATCATGTTACAACCCTAATTGAAATATAAATAGTGTGGAAAGACATCTGAACGTATGCGGAAGACTTGGTTCTAATGTAGGTACCTCCAGTGTAGGGTGCAGCTCTGAGGATCACTGCCATTCTGTCACTAATTTGTAACATCCTCCAAGGTCTTGTAGGCTAGTATCTGGCTCCAGTGGATCTGACGTAAACCTAGAAAAACTCTAGTCACTGACACTGAAATTTGGCTACTCAGAGTTCTGTCAGCTAGTACAGCAGGCTTCTGGGTACAGCAACAGTGGATGTAAGTAAATACATTTTATTCCTTGGGGCCTTAGCAAGGCATTGATCACTGGAGATTAAAGGAAACATTTCAAATGAAACAAAGGCATGTGCAGGAAAAAGTCATCTAGCAAATAGGTGGGGAGCTTGGCTTTCAAAGAAGTTTCTTCAGAGTTTACCAGGGAGGTACTTTTATATGGTTACCTGGCATTTCTCAGGGTGCATGACTGGGCCTTCAGCCCCAGCCCTGCTTTATTGCTCCATTCTGTACATGTTGGAAGGAGAGCTATAGGAAATTTAACTCTGCTTACTGTTACTCAAGTGTGGTTTTTGCACTCTTTCACTGGGTTTACATACAGTTGCATCCTATGAACGTGGAATCTTCATATTTTGGAAACAAATGGTGGGACAGAATATGTACCCTTAATAAAGAGAGAAACTATGCATACTTTATTGGTGATGGGATACTGTGATACTATACCATTTAAGTGCTCCTAGGGTGGATGCGAACATAATGGTAAAACTATGCCTTATATCAATATAATAAAACCAGCTTCCCATGAATGGAATGAGCAAAACAAGCCATACCAGTAAATGTGCAGTTTTGAAGTGTAATTGCATCTGTGCTAAGGGCTTCTAATGTCATAGCCATCTGGTTACAGGTAACATCTCTTCACACCCTTGACTGATATCACAGTGCCTTATATTTACATATTAGTGAAAATGGATCAATGGATTAAAAATAAACCAAGTAAGAATTGACAGCTTGGGGTAAACAGGATCAATATGTGAAAGAACTAGTGCTGGGGGGGGGGATATTGGGAAGGAGCCTCAGTATTCTCAAGCCTAAAACCAAGATATAGAATAGAGACATTGTCCTCCGTTCCATGTGATAAGTTAAATTCTGGCAATTTATCAAGGGTGTGTTTGCATAGAAAGTGCACTGCTAGCAAGGATTATATGAAAATCTGTGGAGCCTATACTTATATCACTATGTCGTAGTGTTTATGCCAGCTTATTCCCAAATGACTAATTGTTCTGAACAAAGCTATGCAAGTAATGCACTTCTGATTTGTTAATCAAACCAAATTATTACTACTATTATTTTTAAACCAACTTTGAGGGGAAACAAAGATTGAAAATAATTATTTCAGGTTGAACAAAACATTTCACTTGCTAAGCATTACTTTGGGAAAATGTCATTTCTAAAAGCAAATCAAATCTTTAGTTTTCAAAATGTCAAAACAAAATGTTACCACTTTAGGGGGATTCTTTCTTTTTTTTTTTTTTCCAAATCAACCAGTTTACCAACATTGGCACAAATTTTCAGAATGTTTCAGTCTATCCATATCTCCTAGTTGAGGTAATTGGGCTTTGTTCTGTGGTACCTGGTTACACATTTTATTTATTTTTAAGGATTCCCTATCGTTTCCATGGGCCCGATTGCTCAGTACAACAACAGGCTTTGAAGTAATGTAATAGTCAGGATTTGCTACTCTGTCTCCTTACATTAAACTTTGGTACTGTATGTCTTTGAATCCAAGATGGGTTTTTTTTTCCCTATTCACCATGAGTTTTTAAAAAAAAACCTCATGGCCTCATGTTGGATTTGAGTGCCAGGCTGGGGCAGGGCCAGAGCTTGAGCCATAGCCATCACTGCTGCCTGACCAGGACTAGAGTTAGTGTGTGTTCTGGGCCCTAGATGGGAACAGGAGCCACCACATATGATAACTTGTGGTGAGGTGTGGGGGGAACAGGGCTGCAGGCACCAGGAGGGACAAGGGGCAGGGGCCAGGTCGCCAGCCTTACCCCATCACTGCTTTCCCTGCCACTTGTGCTCCTCGTGCTGCTTTACCTGCCATAGTGGTGGTGGGATGAATTTAAGACAACCTTCCAAAAATCAGATTCTACCTGGAAAATTATAACATTTACTTAACATTTATAAATTTCCATGTATAGAATCTAATTATTGTGAGGTTGTCCTAAATTTAAAGTCATTTTGGATTTGGTTAAAGATGCTAAGCTGTGGTTCATAACACCATACAAATAGTTTTGTATTTTAATACAGATACTCCTTTAAAGAGTTATTTCTAAATTAGGACTGATTCAGAATTGAGGGGAACTCTTAGGATTTGCTCCCAAGTTTATAAAAAGACATTTAGGAAAATGCAATCCACTAGTATCTTGATTTTTCTGACTGTAAGGATATCGTGTTGTGAAAACTTAATTCCTGTAGCTTTGTAGCTTTTTTTTATTTAAGTCTAACAAGCATTCAACAGCTTTCTATACTTCAAATGCTTTACAGACATTAGTGAATTTAGCTTTATAACACCACAGTAAAATAGGTAATCAGTTATTGCTCCAAGACCACTTGCTTCCCTTAACTGCTTCTGTGTCTCAGTTCTACTACTATAGCACAGCGTGGTCCAGTGCACATGTCCGATCAATACAACCCTTTATTGTCTCCTCCTGCCTTAGTGAATGTTAGAAAAGCTGAGTAATCTCGTCACAGCATTACAGTTGGCTCTGTGCTAAAGCAGTAACACAGATACAAAAGAAGATGCTTCCTTTTTCTGTAACTATGAACCAAGGATGAACAGACAGCTGCATTTGCCACTGACTAGTTTCTTTCTCCCAAATGGAAGGATCTGTTAGCAGAATCTCAGGCAGCCACTGTTTGTTACTTGAGTCTGTTCAGTTATCCCATCAGCTTCTCTGATGGGAGCTTAAAAGCTTTTGGAAAAATATATTTTAAAAGTCTACTTAATATCTGAAATCAATAACTGAATTGGAGAAGATGGGAAATTTCCATTTTAATTTTAAAGCAAAATATATGAAAAACAGCTAGCTTCTTTCACAATGATCTGAGATGGAGATTCTGTGCTTCACAGGAAGATTTAATGATGCCACTAACAACTGAAGTAGAGCAGAAAAGTGTTGGGCTGAAATGTTTCAGATAGTATATTTCAGTATTAACTTGAAGCTCTCAACTCGAGGCTTGGCAGAGAGAGAGAAATCTGAAGACCCACTCCTTTCTTACTTGCCAAGATCTGAATTAAGAGCTTCAAGTCTAACTGTGCAAGAGTTGATTTTGACATAAATGTAAGCAGTTTGAATCTTTGGTATTAGTAACAGATGCTTGACTGGTA